AATTAATTACTCAACCTACATTTGATACAACCCCTATGCTGAAACTAGTAAATCAAAGCCTTTGATTTGTTGTCATGGCCTCACCTTGAATTAGASGAAGTGACTTATTGGTGGGGTTATTGTAGTAGATCTAAGGCCATAATTTTTTGTTTTAGGCTTGCATTATGAAAGCAAAGTTTCAAATTTTGATACGATACCATATCAGACCTATATTGGGCCGTATTAGATGTGTATCAGGTGTATCGGTTGATACGCTATAAAAAATACAGGAAAAATTTAAAATAAGCATTCTTCATCCCTAAATGCTTCTAAAACTCCAAACCTCACTCATAAGAGTGTTAGATATGCAAAAAAAATTCAAGAAACATGTGTGAATCATCAATTTTTTTGAAATTTTTAAGAGGTAGATTTTTTTTCAATTTTTTATAATATCTTAGGACCCCATAATGTTGATCTCATCTTGACAGAAGTGGAGCTGCCGTTAATATCTGGATTTGCTCTTCTAACCTTGATAACGGAGCATGAGATCTGCAAAAAAATTCCTGTTATAAGTACGATAAGAAATCATTTATGTAATCTTCTTATTCTGTTTCACTTGGAATCATTCTCAGCCTCTTGTGTGGCATTTCTTTGTTGATCTTGCAGTGATGTCCTCACATGATTCAATTAGCATGGTTTTTAAATGCATGTTGAGAGGTGCTGCTGATTTTCTCATGAAGCCAATCAGGAAGAATGAGCTCAGAAACTTGTGGCAACATGTCTGGAGAAGACAATCTGTATGCTATCTTTGCCATTTTTGTTCTTGTTGTCTTTTTCTGTGTTCCTTCTTACCTAAAGCATCAACCTGACTCTTAGTTTGTTCACACTGTCAGTCAACTGCTGGACATGATAGCCAAGAAGGGACCCCATACAACGGAAAGTTGAAGCTATAACTGAAAACAGCTCTGCAAATAATCAATCAAGTGATTGCATGCAGAAAATTAAGCAGTGTACCGAGAAAGGGAGTGATGGTCAAGTAAGTGACTCCGATCTTCTAGTCATCATCTAAGTGCTTCAAGCAGTTTCATATCCTTGTGACAATTCGTATATTTTTGGACATAGTTTTGATTCATACGTAAATCCATGTCAAGAAGCAGTTTTAGAATGCCAACTTCCTTTTATAAATACTATGAACTAGTATCAACTGGTTTAATTATTCTCATAAGTTTCTGGACTGATACCTAAAGGTTTAAGTGTTAGGGAATACTGGTTTTGAAGGATAATATGATATTGTATTTCATATAAGGCCACTTACATCTAAAGGACTTCTCTTTTCCAGTTTAGGTCGGTTACATGAGGTTTTACATAGAGACTGCAATTGATGAAGGAAGATCTGGCCCGACCTCACGATCACGCCACGTGGCAAAAAACAAATAGCTCGATACTTAAAGCAGCGTACCCAGGGCGCAAACACCAAAGGGAAGAAACCCGCAGTCCGAACTCCCCTCGAGGAGACCGAACTCCCTTCGAGGAGCCCGAACTCCCTACGTGGAGCCCGACCTCCCTACTAAGAGCCCGAACTCTCCCTTAGGCCCTGAGCCACACAAAGCAGTGACCCGAACTGGCCCGCCTCATGGCAGTTCGGGATACTCCCCTATCCGAACTCCCTATGAGGAGCCCGGACTCTCCCTTAGGCCCCGAGCCACACAAAGCAGTGACCCGAACTGACGCACCTCAAGGCAGTTCGGGACACCCCCCCTATCCGAACTCAAGACTTCGCCTCGCACACCGCTCCAGCACTTCGCCTCCAGAACGCCGAACAAGACAAACCACACCGTACCTGACACCGAAGGAGTCTGTATCTAGGGGCGGCGCACCTGACTGACTTGGGATCTGACGCTTGACAGCTGCACTTCAACGGCCACCTGCCACCGTCACCTGCCACCGCCATCTCCAGTTACAGAGACGGCTCCGACAAAAGGAGCAGTGGCGGTTCTGCCCCAGCAGAGGTGATGACACCTGAACTGGCAGAAGCACGGAAGTAATCATACCCGACCTGACAGAAGTCTAGGAGTGAGTGCGCGAGGTGGTTATAAAAGGCTCTCTACCCGCCAAGAACATGGTATGCAAACTTTGCGCTATCTGGTTTTATCTTGCCTTTGAAGGATTCTAATTTGAGCTTCGGAGCCTTTACACTGGGTTCCCCTTGGAACTTCCTCATCTTCTCCGTTTCAGGTTCCCTACGATCCAGTTTAGAGGCAAGGTCGTTGACAGCCAAGACCGGCTGGATTGCGCATCATCAATTGGCGCCGTCTGTGGGAAATGCTTCAAAAAGCCTCCCTCCAAACTCTCATAACCTCTTTTCTTCAAAAAACCCAACACTCATGGC